ATTTTAAGTGTAAAATGTTAAAAATGAATATATGAGAGTAAAACAAAAAAGCCGTCGACGTACTTCTTTGGGATTTTTTTTTATCGGACAAACTATGCAATATCGTGTTTTGGAAAAGTTGTCGCCCTAGTTAAAGACATTAACTTACTCGTACAATTTTTTGTTTGCTAAAATATCTTTTCATTTATAAACTATCTGCAAACAAAATCGGTCAAATATCGACAATTTGGGAAATCATGGCCTTAAGGTAGTTTCGACGTTTCATCTGCATATTAATGGAGACGAAAAAAATAAAATGATGACTTTTTAAACAATTCGTCATACTCTTCATATTAATTATAATTCAGGGATGGGTATTTAACAAACTCAATTTATTAAAGCTGATTAATCCGCGTTCCGGTGTCTATTCCTAAATCACGGTTTGAACAAACTTCGAAGCTTCTTATTTCATTATTTACGGTGCGGCGAGCTTTATCCCAGAACTTCAGATATAACAAAGTAAGTAATTCGGTAAATTTCTTTTATGACGCGGGAATACTGAATTTGGGAATCTTGTGCTGGTATTTGGGTTGATTAGCCGAAAAAAACAGAATTTTGTTTGCTTCTTGGAATAGATCTTTTGGTTTATCGCTACCGTATAATTTGTAAGAAACTTTTTGAGGGCTCCAATCAATACCGGTGAAGCTATGAATTAGCTTATCAACTTTTTCTTCAGAAGTATTTCTTATTCATTGGACTTGATTGATTTTACCCAATCCTTAGTCATTTTACCTGCAGTACCTTGGAATTCTAATGGGTGAAAATAAGAATTGTATTTTGACTTTTCAATGCATTATTAATGATCAAGTTGAAAAATTTATTGCTTACAATCGTGGAATTTATGGTTTACGCATGAATGATAAAAATGCTTTCAATATATTTTCTTCTTTGCAAATATCCTTCTCTGAAATAAAACAACCGATTTCCTCATTCTGTCTCAATTGACATCGTCTCATTATTTTAATCCCAACTAATATTATAAATGCGAAAGTAACTCTGTCTGTCTGTCTGTCTGTCTGTCTGTTACGCTTTCCCGCTTAAACCTCGCAACCGATTTTGATGAAATTTGGCATAGAGATAGTTTGAGTCCCGGGAAAGAACATAGGATAGTTTTTATCCCGGTTTTTGAAACAGGGACGCGCGCGATAAAGTTTTTCTGTGACAGACAAAATTCCACGCGGGCGAAGCCGCGGGCGGAAAGCTATTTATGAATATTATGGTGTTCGTCTTCCCCCACGAAGTCATTTGTCAACGTTATTGATCCAAATTAATTGGCACAGTATTCTTATGATTGTAAATGTTCAAAATTAACGTAAATTACAATTATATTTGGGAAATAGCCTTTAACATGGCAGGTTAACGCCTCACGTCGGGTGGTGAGACAAAGAGATGGTAATGAATGGCGGCACTAACAACGGCACATAATGGAGGCTCGTGCAGAAAGTATTCCTTGGTATGTATAGTCCATAAAATAAAACTGTCAATTTTCTAACAAAATAAAGCCGAATAACAACGACACCAATTACCTATTTATAAATAGTTTAAGGCTGAGTTGCACCATCTTACTTTAACTTTGACAAACGTCAAAAATCTGTCGAACTCTATACAAAAAGCACCGGTTATTGTCATTGTTACGGTTAAAATAAGGTGGTGCAACTTAGCCTAAGATGCTTAAACCTAACTGAACCTGATTGATTTTATTATGAAACAAAAATCAGTAAGACCAATATGTGTATCTATTCTGATAATGTGTTAACTGAGAAGCTAGACGTGTATTTTAGCTATTTTTTCTCTTTCGATGTGTATAGTACCTAAAATCTAAGATATTGAATACCTAAGTGCTAAGTGAAACTTACAAACAAGTCCCGACTGAGATAGTCGATTTATTTGGGGATTATGGCTTATGAGCTGGATTTTCTAGCGCATAAATCTTAATATTTTAAAGGAAGGACGTCCTATTATGCGGTCTTTGTTTTTTGTCGCTTTATTCTTTCACTCTTAGGTGATATGATTGAGGTAGCAAATGGAGGTTAGCCAGGGCTGGAAACAATTTACCATACATGCTGGCAACTAACAAACTCTTTGTTTTTTGGGCCAATTTCGATTGTCTGTTGTTTTTCACAATTTCGAACACGAGTTTGATGAACCAAATTGGGTTTTATGCCATTCACATAAAAACTACAATACCCGATATTACTCAGTAGAGTTCACGCACAATCTGACATACGAAAACGTAGGGCTTTTAGCAAAGTAATGCCTTTGTATCTATTTCCATTGTGCTAACAATGTGTATTCATAGTTAATGTGTGCAGACAAAATCTTTGGACAATAAACTTAATTACGCAACATAATGTAGCGAATGTATATTTGTTTATCAGAAATAATGTTGTGTTTACTGTTTATCTTTTCCTGAAAATGTGTGGGTGTGTATCCTACGCTTACCTATGTAACTGCTGAAACTTTCTCTCAAATAATTTAATTTAACTGCTTCCATTACTTGGTTTCTTTATATCTTGACTTACTTGACTTAAGGTCCTATGTCCCCTAGATGGGGCAGAGGGCGTACACAACAGTTCTCCATCGCGTTCGGTCTTGAGCTTCGCGTTTGATCTCGCTCCAGGTCTTGCCGATTTTCTTCGCCTCGTCTGCTACAGTGCGCCGCCAAGTTTGCTTTGGGCGCACTGTAGCAGATTATATTATCTTCTATTATATTATATATCTTCTATACTAAATAAGAGGATGGACACACAGATGACGGTCTTTTGACACTTTTTCTCAGCACCAGCCGTTATGTTGTCCAGAAATGACGGTATAGCTAGCTATACAGGGTGAAATTTAAATCATTGGCTTAATTTAAACTAAGACTCTATTCATGATACACGCCTAAAATAAAGAGAGAAAAACCACAATTTTCCAAACTGTTGAAACTTTTCCTTGGAAACATTACGCGTAAAATATATTGGTTTAAATGTAAAATTTAACGGACAACATTTTAATTCATCGGTGATGGAGGCACGTGTAATTGTGTAAATGAGCCGGAGTATCGGAGATCAATAGCTATAAGAAGGTTTATGGTGGAATACAATATTGGAGCTTTAATGTAATACAAAAAAGAATCCCGATGTTGTAAATATTGCATGAATTTTATCCAATTTTAATTATTAAGTATAACATCAATAGTCGCTGACATAGCCCGACGGATCAGCAAGCTGAAGTGGCAGTGGGCAGGGCACATAGTACGCAGAACTGACGGCCGATGGGGCAGCAAGGTTCTGGAATGGAGGCCACGTACCGGAAAACGCAGCGTGGGACGTCCACCCACAAGGTGGACCGACGACTTGATAAAGGTAGCGGGAAGGCGCTGGATGCAGGCCGCTACCAACCGTGCGATGTGGAAGTCATTGGGGGAGGCCTATGTTCAGCAGTGGACGTCCTGTGGCTGAAATGATGATGATAACATCAATATACATTAACTGTAAACGTAACATTATAAAATACTTACTTTATTATTATAATAGCGAATTCTGGTTATAAAGTGGATGGTTACTCATTCCCACAAGCAGATTAAAAAGTTCTTTTGAAAGTTCGGAACTATTTTGATTATTTTCTGTGTCACAAAGCAATAAACACGATCGACTTTAGTTTACCAGTTAAAAAACTTCCGAACACACACAACAGCCATTCTTACTAATTCTCTAAACAAGATTTTCTTGTTATAAACCAGGGGAAATCTCCGCACGTACCAACTTGGCACTTAGGTAGCTAAGTAGAGTGTACGTGTCACTCTCTCCTAGTTGTTCACTCGTGTGGCATTAATAAAGTAAACTGGAAATAATCTTTATGTTGAACCACTTAATTAATTCCCTAAGATCTCACAGGCATAGTTCGGAAACTTAAATCCGTGTTCTATAACAATCTTAACGCTTCTGGGGCCTAGAAAGCTGGTATTACTTAGGTACTCGATTTATAATTTTGGTAGGTCTACCATTTATTGAACGGCAAACAATGCCCTCTATTGGCCTTTACCAAACATTGTTCTGCCAATTAATGCTGATCCGCATAGCCCTTTACATCACACGTCGACGATCATAATGACCAATGTAAATGGCCACCCAATGTAATTCACATTAGGTGGATAGCGATTTACTTATAATTAGACTGTCGATTCGAAAGCTGGAATATTGGTGTGATCTCACAAGAATAAGTGGTCAATGGGAATATTATTAATTTGTTCTTAGTTACTTGTAAATAGTAAAAAGGTCTTGTCCGTTTTTAGTGCTTCATTTCTGACTTAAATTTGTAACTATTACCGTTGTAACATTCGACAGGGATCAAAAGAAGCTTACATTCCATTATTAAGTTAAGAACAGTGGTAGCTTTTGTCCAAAGACAATACAATTAATGCGCAAATGGGCAAAAATGTCAATGTCCTTAGCGAATATTAAACGGCATTAACATTGAAATAACAAAGGGTCCAAGAATTTAACGACGATCGTTTTCGTTTTATATCATCGTTCCGCCCCGGCGATAACTCTTCACAAAATACAAGCAATTAGCCGAATTCTGTATTAAATTACCGTGTTACGTTACGTTACGTGTTTGCCTTCAACAATTACCCTAAACAGCAAGAAATGAGTTGCTGTTTGAATACCTAAATTGATACATTATTTAAACACGCTCGTTCACGTTTGGTTTAAGTTTCTAGCACTTTGGAAAGCTTAATAACCCTTGTGTAAAATTGAGAAGTTAATGTTACAGTCACGAAAGTGAAGACAAAAAAAAAGAATTGGAGGTTATCAGTCCTGATGCTATGCGATCACAACCATCTACTGATATCTCTATCACCAGCAGAGTTTCCAAAGTAGGCCTATGTTTAAAACCCATTTCTGAAGCAGGTTCCAGTTTTTCATACATCTTGTTTGTAAGTGTAATGTAATTATAACGTGCAATTTTGTTCACAGCTCCACCCAACAGGCCTGTGATAATGGACGCAAAGACCAGGGACCAAACGCGACTGTTGGAGCCCTACAACGAAGGAGACACCCTAGAGCTCATCTGCGAGGTACACGGGGGTATGTATCTGATAAAATACACATTATTTTAGTAGTATTATTCATTAATGAAATAATTCTCTTTGTTAGATAGCAAGAAAAAACTGTTACCTAGAAATGGGTCCCTTAATAGAATCTATTATGTAAATTATCCTGCTTTCGCCTCCGAGATTTATTTTACCATGTAGTACCCCTGTACGACAACCCAATCCGCACACAATATTCAGCGTAGTAGTATTAAAAAACAAAAGAGCGGGCAACCCCACCCCTACCACGCTGTGGGCTCGGTGTCCGAGCGGTCTCATTCCTTTGTGCGCACGCGCAACGACC